ACCATCTTATAGAGATGTAATTGCTCCCTTCCAGCAGTATCTGATGCTTCATTTCCGATGATGGAGTACCATGGTGAAGAAATGGTTGTTATTTTAGAAAGGTGCAATTGTAGCACTGTGTTGGCTATAGTTTGGATATGCTCATTCACCATGTCATGTGACATATACTTCCCTCTAGATAGCCAATTTTTAATAACATCTGTACAGTGACATGAATTACTTACAAGTCTTGCTGTCAAGAGTTATACTAAATTACTTTTACTATTAATATGTCCCCAAATAGAAATACCGTGACGCAACAAGCAATGGAGAGCAGAAAGCTGCTCCAAAAGACCACATCTACAAATTGCTTGTTCTTTCTTCATAGTGTTATCCAATTGCTCTTGTACTGTTTGCTTTGCAATCAATTTACACTTAGGTATAGCTTCTTTACTGACTTTGGCCAAGAACATGAATGTTTCTATAGCGTTTTTCCAATTTTGATAACCAGACCTTAAAAAAGCTTGCTCTCCCAATTTACTAAAAGCAATTAGATTGCTTCATGGCATATCGGCAATAAACACGAAACACCTTTTTGTTGGTGATGCATACAGTCTGCCAAGGGTAGTTTCTATACCACAGAGGAACAAAATTTCTTTTTTTTCTTGATAAATACAAACTGCGTCTTGGTCAGAAGGCTGATTAGGAGTGTGATCATTGTCTGAAAAACGCCCACATGAACACCATATTGTAGCATCAGTCTCTGTCTTTGTCTCTCCACCTGTACTAACTTCTAAACTGCTGGCCTCGGGTGATCAGTGCTTTCACTGCTTTGAGTAACTTCAGGTAACAACTCTTCTTATTCTAGGTCACTACTAGTGCCACATCCACAATCTTCTGATGATTTTCATTAGTCTTCATCTGAAGTTAGAGACTCGGTTAAAAAGTGTTTTGATCGTGAAAATGACTGAAACAAACTTAATTGACGTTTAGCCATGTTGTTGTACATATTGATCGCACCCAAGAAATTTTAACCTTTGGGTGTGATCAAAATGTCAGCCCTTTGTAAGCTTTACAGCAAACATGAGCTGATTTGTCTTGCTTTGGCCAACAAGATCGAAATTTATGATCAGACTTCACTTGTTTTGTAGTTCACTTTCAGTAATGGTATGTTTAAAATGAATATATCATCCTATTATATATAACAAGAGAGGGGGCTCTGCCTCCCCTTTTCAAAAAGTGGGGAGACTCAAAACCCCAATCAAACACTGCTCCGCCTCCTATCCTTAGACTATAGACCTGTCAGTGTAACTTGCAAGCAGCTGATTTTGTTTACAGTGTCTATACTTTGTGGATCTGGAAACTGCTTTTCCATTGCAAACAGTACAAGGACAATGAGCATGGTTGTAGCTAAGATCCTACGCAGATACTTTCTCTTGAGACCATGAAGATGACATCTAAGTTAATCACTAATAACAATAATTATTATTATTATGTCATCATTTGGCAGCTGGGAATGTGGAAAAAAAAGCTAGCTGCTGGTACATAATTTGTCTCATCAGCTCGTTTAAATTATAACTGTGCCAGCATAAAAAATAAAGCTTTGGTCAGGGTATAATCTAAATTCTGTACTGTGGAAACTTACCATTATACTAGATCTATATACGGAACTGTGAGTGTACAGGACAGTTTGACTAAAATGGCCGTTGGTAAGAGCTGGCTGCAGATGTCACGAAATGAAGCACAGATTATGTTTTCAAAGGGAGTGAAGCAGAGTTTTCAGATGAAGCATGAAACTGCTTTAAAGGTTTGTGTTTCACTCAGAATGTAATAGCTACTGGGATTTTGACTTGGTAATACTGATAAGATATATATATATATATAATACAATACAGAAAATGCAAATAATGTGATATCAATAGTGTTGTATTGGTATACCATTACTAATACTAAAAGTATTTTGGTACTGGGTCATGAAATTTGGTATATCATAACTAAAACTAATACTAAAAGTATTAAAATACCATAAGTAAAACCAATACTAAAAACAGCACAAATTGCTTTACTAAAATTTATAACCAATATTCATTTCCATGCAATACATTTGGTACAACAATGTTCACTGAAGGGTAAACAGTTTAGATTGATATCACTAGATTATCATGTGCAAATTCATGAAGCACATGTTATGTGTAGCTATCTTAGTTGCATAATGGCTACTAAAAGTGGAAGACCAAAGAACAGTAACGTATGAGACTACTACACTTATGATGCAGAACTAATACCATTAATTTTAATACAATTAAATCATTAGTTTAAAATTAATAGTGTGACTAGAGTTAGTTTTGTTAAGTTACATGTAAGTACCATAATCTACCAAAATCCATATTCGTTACCAATACCAATAGAGTTTTACTTTCGGTAAAATTACTACAACTAATATCTATAAATCATGAGTATTGGTGAAAATACCATAACTAAAACCAAATCCAAAATGTCATACCAATACAACACTAGATATCAATTTTAAATTATGTGCATATGACATGTGATAAACTATTATTTTACTATGACAAGTATTATATACGTTACCCTGTAATGTGCATTGATTGTGATTCTTCCGTAGAGCAAGATGTGGATGGTGAAACTTTTCCGATGTCCATTAATTGTGCTTCTGTTGAACAATTAAAGATGTGTGGATTGTCAACGGTGAAAGATTAAATGAAACTGAGAAAAGTGTTTTAACCCTTTAGCACCAATTGACCCTCCTGTACGTCAAATGCACGTGCGCATTGTAGCATGAATAACGTACTTGTACAACGCATAGCAAGAGGAGCTTCAGCGTGGTCGTTTATACTGCTGTCCTTTATATCTTAATGTATTTTATCTCTTCAGCTCATAGAACCTTCTACAACTATAAACAATAGTCTTTCTTCACCTTAGCAATGTATTTTATTTTACGAAGAAAAAGAAAATAGAATATTTCGAGATGACAGCTTCTTTCACTGCGCTTCAGGTTATAAACAGATGATGATGATGATGTACTAGAAAAATTTGACTTTGGAAGTCTTGATGAGCAACAATTATGAAGAGTAAGAGATTAATGCAGTGAAGAATACCTAATGCAGGGCAAGTGATGGTGAGAATAATGAGGATACAGGAGTAGTACCAATAATTCAGGCACCACCTCTACATTAGTACTGGGATTAAGTAGCAGCGCTTGTAACTCCAGCCAGAATTTATCTGGTGTCAGTATCTACCAAGTAAAGAATACTTTTAATTGTGTAAATAACGCAAGTACTGATACTTATAATAGTACTAATTTTGCACAACTTTTGCCACTACAACAATGGATATACTGCTTTAGTTGCCTGGTATTGCTAAAGATATACAGTATAAGACAAAAAAGTTCACATTTTACGGAAAGGAAACTACTACGAAACCGTCCGTTTTACGATTAAAATCGTGTTTTTACCGTTACCGTTTCGTTTACGTTTAAACAATAGCAGGACAAATATGGAACGATTAGATTACGGTGCAATTGCGGGTGATAACACGTGTACCTGTTAAAGTAAAGGTGCTCGAGGAACAAACTCGCTTGCGGAGGAGAAGAAGAAGAAGAAGCCCCATGCTTCGATCTGTATTAAACCAGACAAAGGACCAATGTGAGTTAGATGATATATAATGCGTATTTCTATATATAAAGCAATTCTTGTGTTTAGCGCAATTGATATTGGCTCATTTCCCGATTTACAACTCATTAGCTTTGGCGAAAAAAAGCTCATTTATTGACAAAAATGCTGTGATCAGTAGAGCATTAAGTCAAGGAAGGAAGTAAAGTATATACTGCTAAAATAATTGAGATACGTGAGTACAGCATGAGCCATCAATGTGATGTTACAGTGGTCTTAGTGTGCTTGCATAATTTAAAATAGCATGACAATGAAGCATGTTTGTCAGACAATTTTTTGTGCATAGGAGATGATGAAGCAATTAAAATAGCTGAAGACAAATTTTATGCTGCTGATGATGAGAATGAGGTGTCAAAAGAAAGTTATGGTTAGCACTCAGTTATGAGTGTGTTTGGGTGTTACAATTTTTATAGATAATCAAAGAACGCTTGGTCAAGATGCTTCAATCATAGAAGTAGAGAAGAATAGTTGCTCGGTTGTACAGGAATCTGCATTTGCTAAAGCGAGGATGGCATTGGATAAAAGTACATGCAGTTGTTATAATCACG